TATCCTCTATTGCCTGGGGATACCTTGGGATAATTCAGGAAGAGCAGAACACTAGGGACTGATATGTCTGGGTTTCCGAATCTGTAAACTCCTTGGGCAGACCTTGGAAAAGTGGCAGAAAGTAGGTATATAAAAATCCTACTTGTGTTTTTTCTGTGCATGTCTAAGCATTTGTCTCTCCATTTTAATATGAACGTTTAAAAAGAAAGTTTCATACAGTTATAAAAGAATGTCCTTGCAAACACTTGCAAATTATTCAAATATTCTGGATGTTGGCGTTTTGACGACTACTGACAAAATCAACAAATGTGGAGGGTGTGACATCACTGGTTACTAAGGTAACTGAGTCCCCTGAGCAGATGGTTGTATGTTGTGTGTGAAGCAGTCAGACAGATCACCATAAGTGTTTCCGTGTGTGCCTCTGAATGTGTGGTCATAAAACATGTCAGCATGTGACACGGGCATCACTTCCGATGCCGTTGTCAGTCTGGGAGCTGTCCTGTAAAACTGCCTTTGGTACTATTTATTGCCATTAATTCGAAAGGAGTGATTCACCAGGAAAATAAGCTAGGCTAATACACATGGGTACACCTTAGGTTGTATTTAGCAGCAATAAATAGAAAATATACCCCAAAAGGTCACAAACAGGTAAAACACTAAGAGTGAGTAATGGCATGAAATGTGTGGGCCACAAAATCAGGAATGTGATCAAATGGGGGATCTTTTTGTCTTTGTCGTTGAGACTTCATTCAGTTCAGGCCATTCAACTTCTAAACCCATTCATTTGTACAGAAAGCTTTTGAAAAACACACATGCTCACAGACATTTTTTGATGCATCTTGGCAGAGACACACAAAGTCTATGCAGCCGATATTCTCATTGGTAATCAAGCCAGCCTTCGCCATTTCTGTTGTTTTGCTCGGTTGCAATGACATCCCGCCCACCAAACCATCAGAGCGCTGTGATTGGCAAGTCACAAGACTGGTCGGGCCTGCTGAGGCTCTATTTGAGCGTGGCTAGACCAACATGGAGAGCAAAAAGTTTTGCTTCGGCTACCGTCTGTCTAGATTTCTAGGCTAGTTTTAGATGATGTTCAGTTTTTTTCCCCTGTTGCAAAGTTATGTGCGCAATAAAAATAAAAAATTACAAAGAGCAGTAAGTATCTCAAAGATGATCAATTTCCTTGCACGAGTTGTCATGTCTCCTGAAATGAAGACATGTTGAAAAACACGTATGAGAGGAATTTATTATCAAAATACTTGATGTGTGCATGCGTGTGTGTGTCTGGTCTGCCCTTTCAAACGCCCAGTGAGTCAGGGCGGAAGGCTGCTCATACTGCCCCAGGTTCTGTTGGAGGTTTCTTCCAGTTAAAAGGGAGTTTTCCTCTCCACTGTCGCTACATGCTTGCTTAGTATGAGGATTGCTGTGAAGTCTCTGACACAAATCAGTAACTTGATGCAATCGGCTGGGTTTCCTCACATAGGAAACCTTTAACTAACTGGCATATTTAACTGAACTCATTTGAAACGTTTACTTTGTGAAGTGCCTTGAGACACTCTTGTGATTTGGTGCTATATAAATAAACGGAATTGAACCCTTTTCAATTTGGCAGTTGGAGACCAACCTGTGAATGAAGTCAGGGTAAATTGTGTACAAATCAACAAATAATTAAGAAACTGTGAAACAAATTAACAAAAAAATGTGCACGCTTGCATAAAAGTCATTATTTTTGCACCTTTGATATATGTAAATGTTCAATGCCACCACAAATGAAATTTAACTTATTTATTAATTTTTTTACAATTTTTTTTGTCTGCAACCCATCACTAACAGTAGCAGCCCAGTGACACATGGGCTATACCACAGTTTTCATTGATCATGTTTAATCTAACACAACTCCTGTCTACCACACTCTTTTTTTTTGTCCTGGTAAAACATTTAAAAAGCAGCTTTTGAATCAAAGGTGGAAATGTTAAAATGTATTAGCTCCAAGTCTTACCTTTCAAATTTTGCTACTTTGTGCAACGACTTAGTTTGGACGTCCTACAGACGAGGTCTGGACCGACGGACTCTGTGTGGCGTTGACTGTTTGCAGGGAAGGTAAATATTAGCAGAATTGGTGAAAACATATTAAATAGTTGTTGTCAAAGATAATTTTTAATTAGTTTAGGTCCTTAAACTGTCGAGGAATATTGGCCTGATCCTTGAGCTCAGAGATGGATTGCACCGCGCTGTGAATTCACAGACTCACACAATTGTCGAGATGAATTGTAAGCTTGGGACTTTGGCCGAAATTCATTCATTGGCACAGATGGATGCCATCAAGGAGAGAGTGGACAAATCAACACGGATTGGGATAGTTTAATGTCCATTATTGGGATTTTGAGAGGTTGAGGACCAACAAACTGTAAGACAGAGAGGAAATTATCTCTGTCTGGCCCCGAAACAATTTCTAATCGGAATCTGGTGCCCTTGAGCCTGCAAGGCTACAACGAAAGCTCCCCCCTCAGAAGATATGTGGAATGTGCCGTCGCTATGGCAACTCAACTCTGTCTCCTTTCCCAGCCTGGTCGGGACTGCTGGAAGGCCGCTGAAATGTTCCAGGGTCACTGCAACCCTCCAACCTTCAATGCTCCTCCCCCTATCCACACTGAGGTGACATGCGCTGCTTATCGTGGATGCAGGAACTGAAGTGGGGATAGTCCCAACCCACTACCCCACCTAGTGGACAATTTTGTTGTGTTGTCTGAAGTCTGTTGCATATCTGTTTGAGGTGTTTTTTTTTTTTTTGCATAGCAACGTTGCCCTCTGAAGTGCCTTTTTTTCCCCTCCACCTGAACCAATCCTCATGTAAACCCTCTTATCTCTATTAAGGTAGCGCGACTCAGGGTTGCGAATGACCACAGTCACCAATTCTTGTCATGTGTCTTGCCCATGTAAGTCTGATCTCTGAATTGTGTGTACTGAAACTCTAATTTCCCTCTGGGATTAATAAAGTATCTTTGATCGATTGATTGATAAAAAAAGAACAGCAAACACAGTATGCTTTGAGTAAAGCTGGGTGAACACTGAGACTTTTTCACTCATAGCGTTCAGCTCCATCTCAAACAGTACGACTTCCTCGCAGAGCAAATCTCATGAGTCATGTCCTCACACCGTACAACCCATTCCTCAGATGCGACCCAACTGCTCACACGGTACGTCTGGTAGAAACACGTTGGACATTTAAAAAAAGGCTAAAAAAGCAGTTTTTACACAACATACAAGACTTTTTTTGTGCTGTAATTGATGTTTGTTGTCCTTCCGGAGTGCTGAAGGGATTTGGAGGTTGGAGGAGGAAAAGGAAAGAAAGAAAGTATATCAACGTTTTGTGATTAGTTTAATTTGAGATAAACATGGCAAACATGCTTTCTTGACAAGCCTTGACATTGTGTGCGTTAACAGAAGCGTATAAATAAAAACGACCGACATGCGTTAATAAGGAAATAGCTGCAGAGTTGTGTTGGTACATGTTTGCGCATGTGCCCTGAGCAGTTCTGGTACTTTCTGGATTGCAGCTACTCACTTCGCAGCTTCAACAGTGTGATACGCTCGTGAGGGACGAGCAAAATATCATACACGCCAGAAATCCGTGCGAGCTCACGACTGCTGATCGGTAGCTGGTCCCTTGGTGTTAATCGCCTCTCGTTACCCCCTGTATACTACATGACGCTCAGTGCAAAACTCACCCCGATTTTATAGATTCTCTAATGGAGGGAACATCGGCTCAAAAAAGGTGAAAAAGTCACACAGTGTCCGCCCGACTTCATATGGACAGTTATTGTGTAATCCCCGCAGAAACACTGGGATGTTTACTGAGAAATCATGTAATATTTGTTCTTTTTGAAATATGATTGGCCACTCTGAGTTTCACGTGCATGCTGAAGGTTAAAAAAAAATCACCGTTCCTTATCGGCTGCATTAGCCGCCAATAAAAAATAGACGAGGAACTGCTTGGGTCAGAAAAAGCCACGCAAATCTATGTCACACTGTAAATTTGCATCAATGGACTTACCCATCTTGGTTTGCAACCTCAGAATGCTATTATTGATTTAGCAGCCAGGAGTCAGCGGACCACATCTTGGCTAGAAGAAGTTAATCACTAGCATTGATACCTAAACAAAATGGCAGAACACTTTCAGCTTTGTTTTATTGGTGGAGATAACGTGTCAGAATTATATATTATTTTACCCAAGAAAGAAAAGCAAACAGAGGCAGCGGAAGAGTTGTGTTGCTGTTAACCAATCAGAAGCGAGATGCTGGCATTTTATGAATATTGATGAGAAAGACTCCACCTTCTGCTGTTTTTGTCCATCACTCTTCTAATTTAACAGTAGTAAGACAGCTTTTCTTCCAGTGGACAATAACTCAAAAGGCATTTATCTATTATATTATACTATTGATTGTATTATAAATGTCTTATGAACATTTAAAATGCTTCTCATACATCGTCTGTGTGTGCTGTACACTATGAATATTACTCTTGAGTAGTCTGTGGAATAGTTCATAGAGCAGGTGTGCTGCATAACTTTCATGTTAGTTAAGTGTAGGTGATGTTTTTTAATGAGTTCCTCTGTTAGCGAGCACATTCACTAAATAACCTTCTGAGTGGCCTTCTTTGCTGAGAGCTCGCTGATTGAAGAGGAATAGCAACACCTTGAGGTGTGTGTGTGTGTGTGTGTGTGTGTGTGTGTGTGTGTGTGTATTTGTGCTGTCCCTGAAGGTGTTTATTACAGTAACTGATTTTCTTGCTAGATTTTTTTTGTCAGCCTCATTTTAAATAAGCCATCGAATACATTTCTGCATTCAGAGGTGGAAGGTATTCAAAACTAGCCTATGAAACTGTGATTAGAATCAAAAATTAGAAAAATGTGGATGGAACAGAAAATTTTAATTTGAAAGAAAAGAAAAAACACCTTCGACACACTGCTCAGACATAAGGAATCCTCTTTGTTTTCCAGGTCAATGCTTGTGTGGACATTGTAGTTGCCACCCACCAGACAGTCGAGTTTATGGGAAAAACTGTGAGTGTGATGATCGTCAGTGTGAGGATATAACTGGAGATGTCTGTGGAGGTGAGACTGAACACACACACACACACACACACACACACACACACACACACACACACACACACACACGCACGCACGCACGCACGCACGCACACACACACACACACGCACGCACACACACACACACACATTTCAGTGTTCTTTACATTGACATATATACCGGACAATTTGTGTCCATAGGCTCCAATCATAAGTTTTTGTGCCAAAATGGGAGGTTCCCACCACCACCATTTTGACTGTGTCACAGGTTCCATCAAGCCCAGGCAATTCCACAAAAGGGAAAAGAGGTGGAGCTGAGGGTGGGGCTGTAAGGCTGGGATCAAATGACGACACCCGTCAAACTGAAGCGCTGTACCTACAAGCTAACCCTAAGCTAACGCGGAGGTGGGAGCTAAACTAACGGAGGTAGCTACCTAGCTACAACTGAAGTTAACTGTGCACAACACCGGAGCTTCTGAGTCAGAGATGCGCCGAGCTGCCGCTGAGGGGAGGGGACCATACCGATAGTCGGAACCCATCTTCACCAACATGTCATATTTCTACCATTTTCTAAAATGCAGAGTTATGTTAGATGCACTGGGTTTTACCCTATTACATTTAAATTTCATGGTTAAACGGTACATGTTAAAATCTAAGCTCAGCTAGTGCAAGAGCGGCAGTGACCTAAAATCATCGACATGAATACATAAATATAATTTTACTTACCCAAAAAAAAAAATGAAGTGGAGGCTTCTTGGACGCTCCATTAGTGCAATTAATGCCACAGCAAGTCATTTTGTCCAACAATTGCGCAAATAATATCCAAAAAAGAATACACAAACGCTACAACTACTGGTCTAAGTTGAGAGGATGAAAATCACGTAACAGTTTTCAGGCGAGGCCGAGGCTCAGACTGAGGCCTTTCCCTGGAGCTAGCTCTGCAGTCATGTGGGTATGATGCTCATTAATTATTCAGAATTTTAGGCATTAAATACACTTAAACAGAAGAGTGACAACCCCCCCCCCCCCCCCCCTCAAAGTTGTCATGAGTGTAAACTAGAGCTATTGAATCTAAAACATGTAATCTGACCTCCAGCTAACAGAAAAAGATCCAGGAGCGCTGCATTGCTCCGGATTATCATCCCAGCTGATTCTGTTTACAAAAGCGAACCTTACGGCCCGTTTTTCTTTTCATTTTCAATATAGCTGCCGACCGGAGCTGGGCAGTAACTCCCCACGTGTTCATGACACCACCCTCTGTTGCGCCAAGGCACAATTGTCATTTTTAAGATAGACAAATACCGCAACACTACTACCAAGCGAGTCGAAACAAATGCTGCAACATTCTTGCATCGCCATGCCTGCATAGCGATTTTATAAGACACAATGTTGCGCTAGTATTACGCTGATTTGCTGGCATGGTGTGTTTTGACAAAAGGGCTTTAGATATAAGATTCGGAGCTTGGGGTAGAGCCGCTTATTCTCTGTTTTTAAATGAGTCAGCTGCAGTGATTTACTCTTTTACAGTTGCCTTACCCTGTTGGTATTCCAAGCATGTCCCATTGGTAGGAGAGCTTCTAGCAGACCCTGAACTTGCTAGATGGTTTACAGATACACTCTTGACTGGTTACACCTCAGAACAATCCAGGAGGAGCTGAAGAACGTTGCAGAGTAGATGGACGTTTTCAACCCTGACCTTGATTTAGCATTTTGGCTAATATCAGCTACGGGCATTAAAGTAAATGCGGGTTCATCTACTGCTGACAGTATTATATTACTGACTTACAGATTTTGTGTCTATTGCAACCATTGGCAGTACTGATATCACTCACATTAGAACTGAGACAGATACGTTGTTTGGGATAGGCCTCCTTAGTTATGAGTTAGTAGACCAGAGCTGAAAATGACCTGTTTTGATGGTTAGGGTAGCTGTTGCAGTATTTCAGTGACTTTCAAACTGGTGTGCAGGATCCCTGGAACTACATTGCTGGCTGTAATTGTTCTCTGAGCCATTCACAGACAATCCTTATGAGACTTCTGGGGAGGGCCTGTCCAAGCACCAAACACCAACAAATCTACTGGCACAAACACACACAGCACCCCCCCACTTACACACTCACATGCAGAGATGCTGACAATGGTACAATCACAGCCCTATGGAAGCTGGTGGGTGTTTTGAGAAGAGACATTCTAAACAAGGCATCGAGAGCAGCAAGAGAGGGATCAAAAAGAAAAGCTTTATGATGAGGGTACTGTGCTGTCAGAATGTGTGTGCCTTACTGCACACTACTGAGAATAGACAAGCAAATATTATTCAGTCCTTCTGCAATAACAAGCTTGTCAGTCAGCTCAGTCCTTCCTTAGCTCTGATGGGTTTTCCCAAAACATGACAAACAAGAGGTTAGAGCAGCCAAAATGTCCAATTTTCTTAGCCTCTGGACTTTGATGTTCTCCCTGGGAGGTGAAGAATATAGATACCATAGAAGAGCAAAAGCTGCGGTTCCTGTAATGGATTGCCTCTGACAGACCGCCTCAGGGTGGCTGTGGCTACAAAGTAGCTTACCATCACTAGCAGTGTGTGAAAGTGAGAGTGCATGCAAGCATCTTTGAGTGTGCTAAAAAGCGCCATATAAGTTCAATGTATTATAAAAAAAAGGGTAAAAACCACGTAATGGATAAAAAGAGTAAAACTGATGAAAAAAATTAATAGAAAAGTACAAGTAAAAGTAACTGAAAACCATGCAGTACAAAAGGTAAAAATACAAAAGCCAGGGTCAACAATGTTGAGGGAAAGCTAGAAGATAAAAGTGAGTTTTCAGGAGGGACTAACTCCTGTGGAGAAGGAGCTTGCTTCACTGCCAGAGGGAGCTCATTCCAGAGTGTAGGGGCCATTACTGAGAAGGCCCCCCTTGATCTCAGTTTAGAGCGTGGGACCTCCAGCAACTCCTGCTCAGCAGAGCGAAGGGCTCGAGTGAGGACACGCCGCTGCAGCAAGTTTGGCAAGATAAGGGGGAGCACTGCCCTGCAGCATCCTGAAAACATGGAGGAGGATTTTAAATCCTGCCCGAGAAAACACTGGGAGCCAGTGCAGAGAAGCTAGCACTGGCGTACAACGTATATTGATTAATCCTTGATGGTAGCTTTGGAGACAGAAAAGAAAGGCTTATTCATATTATGCATTTTTTGTTTTCATTACATGTGCATTCATTTATTTTCTGAACCCAATTGATTTAGGACGATGGTGGCAGGAGGGTTAAGTCCCCGCCCCATAATCAAAGGGTTGCAGGGTTGAGCCCTATCTGTTGCAGGCAATGTGTCCTTGGGCAAGACACTTAACCCTCTTTGACTGCTGGTGGTGGTTGGAGGGATGGGTGGCGCCAGTGTTCAGCAGCCTCACCTCTGTCAATGCGCCCCAGGGCAGCTGTGGCTACTTATCACCAGCATGTGATTGTATGTGTGGATGAATGACTGTGTTGTAAAGCACCTTGTGGGGTTGTAGAAACCCTAGAAGGTGTTATATCAAATACAGGCCATTTAGGTCCTGTGCCAGGTTGCAGAGAGCTAGTACCTATCTCAGACTGTCAGGTTGGGGTTTCATCTTGGACATGTTATGCAACACATTCTCACTCCCAGCGCATCAAAAACAAACGCTTGGTCAGCCACCCTCCGCCTCAGACCCTTGAAGCCAAAAGTGCCCTTTTTCGTTACTTATGTGCGAAAAGGGTTTTTTCCCTTTCTGACTGCAGATCCCAATGCAGCGTTACACTGATGTGATGGGATGTCCACAGCCAGGGCACCAAACAAGCTCATTGTACCTTACCCTAACCTTATCCTCTTATTTAACCTTCCCCTCACCCCTATCCTAACCTTAACCATCTTGCTAGCGAACACGTTAGTGATGCGTCGGTCGCTCTAAAAGCCGGCTCTATGAAGTGAACGGCGGGAGCCGCCTCGTCATTGGTCGGGTTTGGACCGAGCCAACACGAGGGGGAGGTTTCAACTACCAAGGTGGAGGTTAAAAGCAGAGGGTATTTGTAACCTCCCCCTCGCCAGATGGTATATTCTAACGTTCCTCGTGGGAGGCAAATACGAAAATTCAGTCAGAATGCATGGTAAACAGACGCTTGATCACAGTGAGAGTAACGTTTTAGGTAGCAAGAGGGTTAAGGTTAGGATGAGGGTGAGGGGAAGGTTATAAATAGCAAAACGTTAAGGTTTAGGTGCGGTTAAATGAGCTGGTTCTGTGCCGCATCAGTGGATATGTAATCACGTCAGTTTTACGCTGCATTGGGATCTGCAGTTAGAAAAGGGAAAAACCCCTTTTCGCACATAAGTAACGAAAAAGGGCACTATTGGCGTCAGGGGTCTGACGTGGAGGGTGGCTGACCAAGCTTTTGTTTTTGATGCGCTGGGAGTGAGAATGTGTTGTTTTATTAGACAGAGCCCACAACAAGACACAGTGAAGGTTTAGTGGTGAATCTCTTTCTTCCGGTGGATCATCTGAACCATTGTTCCACATAACAGTCAATGGTGAAGCTTTCACACAATGCTGTTGTCGTACGTGTTTGTTGCTGGGTAGTTTTCACTTCCTGTGCATGCCCATTCTGTTTATGTGTAGAGTGATAGCCTTCGTCCATTCATTCTACCTCGCCGTTCTCGCCGGGTTCTTTAGAAAATGGCTGAGTCGCAAAAGAAAAAGTGTTTTGAAGTCTATGACAAAAAGTGGAAGGCCTCTGAAATGAAAAATAAGACCAGAGTCTTTTTTAGGAGACTCTTTTCTACGATGGCGTGCACTGAAAGCGAAGGTTGGGCTCCTCACAGACGCCTCTGTCGCAGGTTTCCTGCTCGACAGGTAAGCTGAAGTTTGGCATGCTATTCACAGAAATGCATTTCAGATTACTGCTAGAAGTTATCTACGACTATATTCTAACTTTCTAGGGAAGGATTGTTTGATTCTGATCAGAGAATGAACCTAGTGGTTATTAGCAGAGAAGTTCATCCCAATAGAAGTACTTTATTGATCT